CCCGCGGGGGAGCCGCGCTCGCCCCTTCGCTCCCTTGCGCGAAGTGGAACAAGTGAATGGAGAAGCAGGGAACTTCGCCAGCCGTGTCCCTCCGGATGGTGCCCGCGCTGCTCAGCATCCCCTAAAGAGAAACTTGGGGTTCGGGACGGGGCTACGATGAGAATAGTTTTCTGTGCGCTGCTTGAGCACAGAGAGCGGCTTTTCTTCCACAGCATCGCCTGCTTTGAAGATGAGAGGGAGGAAGAGGGCGGGTTGAAGCTGGAGAAATAAGTGCTCTCCTCGAAGCGGATGCTTCTTGCGCTTCCCAGATGACCTTTTGCTGAAAATGCAGCCTCTCCAGCTGACCGGTTTTTACTTTGACTGCAAAGTGTGTGAAACTGAGCCCTGACTCCTTGCCAGAGCCTGGTATGGGCACTTCGGGGCTTAACAATATGGGGCATCTCTTGTCACCTCTCCTCTTGAGCCTGGCAGCAGTTTTTTCCAAAGGTAAGGCTTAATCTCCTCTCTGTGTCTGTTCCTTTGATCCCTGTTTCCTGCTTGTTTTGCATACGGCCCCTCTGTCCCCCTGGCTCTGGTGGTACTTCGGATGTTGATTCCTGCAATTTGTAACCGAAAGACCTGGGGGGGACTTGTGTGTGAGTCAAAAGCAAAGACATCCAGACGGAAATCCTGGATGGGAGGATTTTGTTTGGTTGAGTTTTACAAATAGTCTAGCTATTTATAGAGATGTTTGTTATAAGATATCTTATTGTGGATCCTGCAGTAGATGGTTGTGGAAGTCTCAGCTCTTGGATTGTGAAAGGTTTTATTATTTAGAAATTAGAAATTAGCTGTTGGAGTTAGCTGCCTATCTTTGTTTCCTATGTAATTCTTCGAATGAAAAATCCTGTGTCTCAGACTGGGMCTGTCTTACTGGACCAGGCGAATATGGGCTTGTTGAAATCTTTAAAAGCTCTGATGAGATGTTAAGCCACTGTGTCAGATATTTCTGCATGCTGCACAGAGTTTGGATGTTCTGACAGATGACTTCAGACAACTCCTCRGTGGTATCTTCGTGCTGCCCTCGTATGCATTTACAGCACGGATGAGAAAGCCAGCACAGAGACAATGTTTCTGTGTTGTTTAAATTCTCCCACAGACTTTAAGTTTTCATTCATGGTCTCGCCCAAAAGGTAAATGCATTTTTATAATCCTTAATGTAGGCAATTCTACTATACTTGCATGATGCAAGTTATGAGAAATATACTCTCTCCAAAAAGACCTTGTGCCTCACAGCTATATTTTGGCAGGAATGATAAATTTAAAGCTTCCATGTGTTTCTTCTTCAGTGAGGAATAGGAGCATATGCATTTAATCTATAATTTTGCAAATATACAGAGTTCTGTTTATAGGCAGGTTGCTGTTTTAGAGCACCTTTTCCTTCAAGATAGGATGGTGTGTGTGTGGTTGGGGGTGTGTGTGTGTGYGGTTTTTTCTTCCCCGAAAGCCAATTATCTTTAACTACTTTGTRTCTAAACTGAGCCTACCCCCTGAGGACAGAATAAACACTTGTGTGGGTTTTTTAAGTGGTTCCTATTGTCGAGTTCCCTTTTCATCCTTCTTTCTTTAAAAGGGATGAGAAAGAAAGGGAGAAAATTGTAAGTCTCCCGAAATGTTACCTTAATGCGGTGCCTGCATAAGTACAGTTTGAAGTTGCAAATGGAAATGCATTACCAGCAAGGACTGGGAGATTGAGTGTTTTAAAAAGATTACTTCATTCACTTTGCACACCAGTAGCCTGGGTATAGCCTGATTACCAGCTAGGCTATAAAAATGTATTTTATTATAAGTGACACTGGTACTTTAGATCAGCTAACAATACAGTAAAAGTATAAACTTTTTCATCTCMGTTTTTTGGAGTTTTTTTGATTTGCATTGATAGTACTGCATTAACTGTGTGTGAGATTGTAAATATACTGAAAGATTGAAGTATAAGTAGAATTGAGTTCTTCAGTGTGTAATGTTTATTCAGCAATTAGATCTTTCAATCAGATACATAAGATCCCATTAGAACTACTGAAATTGTTTGTGCCATTTATTTTGTACTCCACAATATCCCACTGCATGATTGCTGGGAGTCTGCTGTTCACCAATGCAGCTATCTATCTTCAAGGTAACTGTCTAGTGCCACACTTGATAACRGGCTCTGCTCACACTACGAGGCTGCATTGTGCTCTGGAGAGACCACAGTGTTCCAGACACCTACAGCAYTGACTAGTTAATGCAAAATGTTGAYTTATTTCTTCCCCGTAAGATGATGAAACCCAAAAAGTCTTGATTACTGCTACTGAGTATATTTTTTTGTTTGCTGCCTTTCTGTTGCTAATAGAAAAACTTTCCTTTATGTCATGATGACAAAGTTTTCCTAAAGAGATGCAATCTTTCAGCGTGCAGCAGGAATCAGCTCTCTATTGTATGCAGGCTTGCTGCTGATTACTCAGAGCCATGGCAACGTACCTGCTCGCTGTGTACTTTCCTAATCTTCCAGGTAATAACGCTCAGAACRTCAGAATATTACTGCAGTTTTGCTTGGTTTTTATCTTGTAAATGGGGAAAATAGTTCTAGCCTGAGAGGTGAARTGTTGTTTTTCATAAGGGCTTTCATGTTCTTTACAGAACAATTGGTGACTGATGATATGACTGTACAATATATTAAAATATCAGAATTATACTGTGTGTGTGTAGATATACATATGTATACACATAGGAAGGCATGGATTATAAAGTGATATGTTGTTAATAGGGAGTTGCATTTCACAGCCTTGGCTTCATCTCGGATTTTTCTTGAATTTTCTTGACTCAGTCCAGCAAAGCCAATTTTTTTTCCCTCAATCAGTTGGGCATTTTGTTATTTGACATACAAAAGATGAAAAATTCATCAGAAACCTTCAATTAAATAACTCAGCCCAGCTTCTGTTTGGGTGCACAGACAAATATAATAGGCTCAGTAATGGAGGTGATTTGTTCCCTGTTTTTAGGGGGAAACTCTCATTGGTTTCAGTGAAGGTAGAATAAACTTCAGTCCTTTTAACACTACATACCATGCTGGGCACAAGCCCCTAATGAGCTGAGCATCTCCTGAAAGATACTGCCCAGTTTTGGGATATATGAAGTATATCTCTATTGAATTCAGATTGAGGAACCTTCCATGCTGGATCTTTTGTTATCAGATAATTAAAAAATCATTTCAAATTTCAGGTCTTGACAGTAAGAAAACAAGAGAAAATTATTGTGACTTTTTCTGCCTGCATTGTACCAAGCATCCCATGTTCTCTGTCATCCTAGGCTGAAATATTCCTGCAGGTTGCTTTCTAATGAGATCTCAGAACAGCAGCTATGTGGTCTGATTTTCTTTTTCCCCTCAGCCTTTATAAATGTAAAGGCTTGGCAATTGTGTTAGACAGGATTACCTTGTGTTTCCCACAGGCAAGAGAAGTGGGTACTCCATTCTCAGTGATGCTAATCTCCTAGTATAGGAAAGTGTGTGTGTGTGGGGAAAGTCTCCCAGAAAACAAAATGCTTTGTTCTGGTTACGGTATTGAAGAATCTGTTTGTTTGGATTGAATACATTCCTGATTAATTTGGGATRTTCATGTTATGGGATTCTTTGAACCCCCTTGATTTCCACTGGATTGTAGAGGATTTTGTTCCTCAATGGCCAAAGAGAACTATGTTATTGATTCCCTGATGATACTTTCTATCAGAGTATGTCATTCTATCCATATTAATTACTTAAACATTGCTCTTAAGAATTCAGTGGGCTGTGGCTTTGTGAATTGTGCAGGAAGCCCTGTTCCTTCTCCGAATCCCCCTCGTGCATCTGCTGGTTTCAGTGGGGTGGTGGATCTCAACAAAGAGCTCCCCATCCTGAAAGGCTGCAATTCAGTTCTGAAGACCAATTAGTGCAGTGGTCCCCCTGACACTGGAGTGTGCCGTGAACTTAATAGAAATGTGGAATATGAAATGCTGAGTTCAGTGTACTTGTATTTCACTGCTTGTTTATTTTTGGATTGCTACTGGGGAACATGGATAGTGTTTTATTAGTGATGGACAGTGGGGTTGAACTCAGACTGCTCTGTTKGATTTATATCTTTTTCTCTCCCTTGGTGGTGACTAGACAGGAGTTCAGAATTGAATTTCAATTCATGTTGACAGACTTCTRTTGTGCTGATAAGGGACACATTCTTTTTCTCAGAGTCGTGCTGTTGACACTAATTATGGTGATGGGCTCATCACAGCCACCTGTTGCTCTAGCTGTACAACTGATGGGCCTGGAGGATTTGCTGCATGCTGGTCTGAAATGGTCACGACTTAGATGAGCAGGAAGTAGAGCTGTGGTCAGCTAAGAGGTTTCTCCTATAGCATTTGCTTAAGTGCAGAAATCTAAAGGTTAGCTTACTACTGCAAAAGGTAAATGAAGTCTTTCTAGTTTTGGACTCAAGTTCTTTTACAAAACCAGAATTTCTCTTCCCTGCCCCAATAGCATATAAACTACAGTCTTTTGAGGCATGGTATGAGAAAGAGGAAACTGAGTTGCCCTTCTGATTTTTGCCCTGCTTCTTGGCACAGTGCACTTCTGGGAGAAGTGGACATGCCTTCTTTCAGCAAAAATAGTAAGTTCAGTTCAAACTGATAAGTTCTACTGCRTTTTATTTGTCAGCTGCAATAGTGGCTTAATATGATTTGGTTTCTAATATTTCCCTGCAATGTTCTCATYTTTTACTTCTGTCATTTCTTTTATTAGTTCCATGGGACTGGTGGGCTCTGTGACACCAACSAATGTCTTAGATATTAATATAAGTGGCTTGACTCAATAAAGATCAGTTTTATTTAATAAAAGACAGAATCAAAAGATAATCTGATTCTTCATGCCATATTTGCATTAAATCAAGGTCCTGAAGTTGCTGTGGATGCCAAGTGTAGTGGCAGTCTATCAGTAGTCCTAGGATACATAAACATGACTCCAGACAGATTGATTGCAGAGCAGCTGAAGAGGCATCTGAGATTCATCGCAGGTTTAGTTTTATAAAGTGTTACATTAAATTACTTGATTTTTCACTAGTCTTTGTAATATTGCCTGCTGCATTATTAATGACAGTTCAAAATGAAGTGGGTTTTAAAGAGTTCAGAGACATTTAGATAACACTAATTATTACGAGCAGACTTAAAGTACATATTTGAGGATGTTGGGCTATTCCGCGGTCTTCTATGGGTGGGAAATTAACTGCAGAATGAGGTTTGATGACTTCATGTCCTTGATTTCTTCTATTTAATAGACTTAATTCAAAGGTAAGGTGTTGGTCTGACAGCCCCATAGAGCTAATGGGTTGAAAGCCTTCATCCTCCAAGAAGGTACAGCCTGTGCAGTAAGCATGCRAAATTCCCCTTCCTACTTTAGTAATGTTACTTAAACTTGACTTAGAGGGACTATAGAGGGCTATATCTCA